ATGAATGTTGATGAACATGCGGCGGTCCTTATGTTTCAGTTTAGGAAGCTCCATATCTGCAATGTCGTGTGGCCGTTGATTTCAGGAGCGACAGCTTCAGCTCAAAAAGCAACTCCCGCCGCGCCAAAACATAGTTTCGTTTCACAGCGCCACGTCATGGCTGGTACCCAGCACGCTAGCGTTGCAGCACACACACACGCCAACATCTATCGTTAAAAAAAAAAATCGCGAGACGAGATTATTGCTTACGAGATGACGAGAGCATGAAAGAAGAGACGGCATGGCGGGAAAAGACCATTAAAAAAAACCATGGACGATTGATGCAGGATATTTTGTGTCGGGCGGCCGTTTGCGCCGCCTAGCTCATGCATGCTCAGTTACGGTACTTAGTTTAGTTTCGGTTTTGAAAGGCGACCAAAATTGGCCCTTTGGCGCAGGCTCGGCGCAGATTACCCATATTTCGACAAAATGTAGCAGGGTTAGCCCCTTGGTGCAGTTTGGCGCAATTGGCGCAGCCATCACATATATAGGCGGGCAATAGCTCGCCTTGAAAATACTTGCTCTTGGTGGCCGAGAACAAACTCGTGTTTCTGATTGGCAGCCATTTGCTGCGAAGGATACCTGCACATGTCCTAAAGAACCCAGTCTTAGTCTAATACAGATGCTTTGGCCAGACAGAGACACAAAAGCCTGACACAAGACCACTATAAAGACCGGAAATGGAGTGTCTGTGAGGAATAAAACACACAACCCAGATAGGCATCAATCACTCACCTTGAAAACACTTGCGATGAGCGGCAAAGAGCAAACTTCTGGCCTTGATTGGCTGGTGCTTGCCACCAAGACCTGCATGTATAAGAAAGAACCCGGTCTTAATTAAACTTGGGTGTTTTTGCAGAAGGGAGACAAAAAATACTAATGCAAGACCACTACACATAGGAAATGCCATCCAAGGAGAATGAAACACTAAACGCAGTGTGTTAGTGTTGACTGTTTTTTCCCCCCCGAGTCACCCGTTTTCTCGGACGAGCCCCTGGGCTCGGTCCTTGGGCCACTTTTGTTTTTAATTTTTATTAACGATTCAAAGATACACCACCCCAATGTACAAAGCCGATTTTTTGCTGACGATTGTGTTTTATTTGCCAAGGTAAACAACCCGTCTGATCAAGAAGAATTAAATTAATGTCTATCTTTGGTTCATGCATTGTGCATAAAATGGAATATGGTTCTAAACTCTAAAAGGCGTGTTCAAATGGCCTTGACGCGGAAGAACAACCCTTTGTTTTTTTACATATTCTATCAAATGAGTACCACTCGATACTGCTAACCAATATCAATACCTCGGAGCTTTAATTACCTCTGATTTGTCATGGAGTGCACATTTTCAGTTCATAGCTCGTAAAGCAATGCGGAAGCTCTGGTTTTTAAGACGAAATATTAACCTGTGTTCACCTGAAACTAAACTGACTGCTTATAAAACCATCATAAGACCAATGCTAGAATATGCATGTATTGTATGGGACCCTCATACAAAGCTGTCAATCGATATGTTACAGACTGTGCAAAAAAAAAAAAAACATTGCAGTTTGTGTACAACCATTATGGTTTTATGTCATCAGTTTCAGATTTGTACCCAAGATCGGGATTGAGTGATTTGGCAACCCAGAGAAAAACGGACGGCTGAAGTTTCTTTATAATATGATATAGGGTAATTTGCGACTGCGTCTCTGTGATTACACTTCATTTAACGAAACAAGGCCCATGAGAGGCAAACACCAATTAACACTTGTCGAACCATTTTGTGGAACCACTTTGTTCAAAGCATCCTTTTTTCCTAGAACCACGTGTGAGTGGAATAAGCTTCTTGAAAGTGTTTTGATTTGAGATCATTAGATGCTTTTATTGAAGCACTACTCTCGCACTTTGTTGAGCAGTGGCGCTGTCTGCTTGTTTGTACTACTTCCGCTTGTCTTTGAATATTGTTTTTGTACACCTCCTGCCTGGGCGTTCCACAGAATGCTGGCAGTATCACCAAATAAATAAATAAATAAAATATAGGCAGGCAATAGCTCACCTTGAAAATACTTGCTCTTGGTGGCCGAGAACAAACTCGTGTTCATGATTGGCAGCCATTTGCTGCGAAGAATACCTGCACATATCCTAAAGAAACCAGTCTGAGTCTAACACAGATGCTTTGGCCGGTCAGAGACACAAAAGTCTGATACAAACCACAAAAACCAGGAAATAGTGTCTGCGAAAGATGGAAACAGACCCAGGTGGAAAGGCTCGTTCTGTTTCACCTTAGTCAAATAGTGTAGCTCATTTTGCTAAAACAATGCATATTTGCTAAAAAATGTATAATATATATTTTGCCCCATTTAGCAGAGTTTACTGCAAGGGTACCTGCACACCAGAATAAGTCAGACTTAGTTTTTTTTTCTTTTGATGAGCGACAACAGAATCCTAAACGGGTGATGAAACAAAATATAAGCCTACCAAGCCAGGCTAGTTTGCCTTGATGCAAGCACAGTGCCTCGGCCGACAAATGACGTTCTATTCTTGGTCACTTGCCATATTTGGTGGGAATAGTAAAGTAAATGAAAATAAGGCTATCTCTCTTGCAGCCCACAGCTGCAAACGAAATTCATATACCTCGATAAACGACCTAAAAATAAAATTGGGTGGTGGCCAAGCGGTTTATGGTGTCAAATTTCAAATTTACAGACTGTGTTGTTCTGGTTGAAGTCCTCCTGGTGTATATGTTTATCCTTATTAATTATACTTAAATTGTTTTTTTTTTTATTTTTGAGGCACTAGCACATAATTTATACGCTAATTCAGCTTTAGAAGCGTTTTAAGAATACTCCACGGCTTCCTAGTGCTTGTAATAAATTCTCAATAAGAGCGGGTTTCAATTTTTTTTCTTGCTCTCGCTGCTGCTTGCTTCCTCACCCTTAAAATGCTGACAACTCGACACAAAAGTAATAAAAAAATGTGCTTCAAATGTGATGAAGATGAGCATTTCCAAGTTGTACCCCTGCTTCATGCCCTGACCATGCCACCATACCACAGCTGAATGCAGCGACGAATGGTCCCAGGTGCTGTGACCCGACCGTACATAGGCTTACGGTGTGGCGCGACTCATGCAGCCCCTATGCTTGATGATGGAGCCAGTGTGCGAGGTGCGACCTGCTAGAGCTGTGCAAGCCACAGCTTTACAGCCTGCAAAGGGTGGGAAGATGCCCCTCCCTTTGCAGAGCTTGCAATAGCTTAGCAAGAAGCTATTGCAAGCACTAGGGAGCCACAGTGTGTGAATAAAGGCACTTCTGAATGTGAATTAGTGTGTAAATTATGCGTCTATACGTTAAAACTTAAAAAAAAGTATTATTTATAAATATATATATACTGTATACTAAAAAAAAGGCAAAAAGAAAAGAAACGTCTCCAGGTGGGTTTGAACCCAGAGCTCCACTGCCCTTGATTTCAGTTCCCTAAAACCCGCTTCAGATGGGGCAACTTTTCTAGCAATTTTGAGGTTGCTGGCGGGTAATTCCCTAGGTTTTCCCAGATCAGCACGAATTTCTGAGATCAGGTTCGGCTTAAAACAGACACGCAACTCGAACAAACTGGAAAAGTTTGAAGCGGCAGCAGCCAATCAGGGACGCAATATTTTCACGTGACACCCCTGTGGTGGTGAGGATGACAGCTGAAGACTTGGTCCTGGTTTCAAATGGATCGTTTTTAGAAATAAACTTTTTCAGAAACATGAGTGAGTATTAATGCCAGTCAAAGATATAAAAACATGTTTTTAGCACGTAGTTGTGCGTCTATATAGTGCAAGAAAAATCAAATTTCATGATGATGATGGCAAGTCGTAGCAATTTGGTTGCAGCGTCTGAACGCAGGCGGCCTGTGTTGCTGGTGTTGCGACGTTAAGTTGCTGGGGGAAATTGCCCCGTCTGAAGTGGGGCTTAGGCTTGCTTCCACCGTTCACGCTCGGCGAGCAAGCCCGCTTCAACCGTTCACACCTCAAGGCAAGCTGGACAGCTACAAGCCACCTAAATGTCTACCGCCGCATCCCCGGCCAGGCCGTGACGCGACATAACTTATTAAAAGTCTTGCTGTCAGTGCCACGACCGGCCAGAGTGAAGTCGAGAAAGAATCATCTAAATCACTTCGTAGCTTTCTTGGAACGACCCCCTCAAGGGAGAGTCGTCCCTCCGCCTTTTGTCGACTGTTGGACTGACGCGAAGAAACTAGCCGTCTTGACCCAGCAGTTACAAATCATAGTGCTCATTAACTCGCCTGCCAGCGTTCCAGGTGCCAACCGCAATTTCCGCCAGTTTACCCGACACCCGCTGACAATCTCGTCTGCCAGTGTTCCCGGTGTCAACTGCCATTTCCGCAATCTTTCCAACACCCACTGTCAAAAACCCATCTGCACTCCAGGCCTCGACAAGCGCTTACTTGCCTACCGCATCACCCCAAGCCTAAATCCTAAATCTGCAATGAGTCCTGGCTGTTTCCCCTCCTCCCACTCGTTATCCTGCCTTCCAGCGAACATGCCGTGACTCTCCTCTGCCTCTGGAGACGACTTTCTTACATCTTAACCGCGCTCCCAGTCTCCTGCCAACCACTATTCTAGGGTACCCGAGAAAGCGTGTATTCAACCTCGTTCTTCGAGCCCTTTAGGTACTTGATTCGAGGAGACACCTGCTGAGGTCTGCCGTGAGACAAGTCGCCAAAATTCCAACATATTTGTCTCAACGGGCATCGTTAGCATTAGTGAACAACCCGCTCAACGAATCCGTATGACTCCCTGGGGACGACTAGAAGCAGAGGCATACCGAATGAGCCTCACGTTGGATGTGCCATTTTAATACTGGTTTCTTTATGGAGTTCGCTTAGCTACTAATAATCACCGCCCAATCGGTATGCGCTCCGCCCGTCACCCAGGGAGTGACATACAGCACCGAGAAGACAGCGAATAAGTTTACTACCTCACGGTTGCCCGTCGTTCAGAGCCAGCAGTCCAGGCACGCCGACCCTTGTTGTCGTCCGTCGATCAGAGCTCACAGTCAGAGTCAGTGTCCAGGCCTGCGGATCGTCCTTCCCATGCCAGCGCTGCGTAGGCTGGCTGTCCCGGGCTATCACTGCCCGAGTCTCGCTGCGGAACCACCCCGGGATCGTCGTGGCCTAGGCTAGATGGCCAGGACTCGCCGCTTCTACCGGTCCGGTTTGAACCTCGCTGGTGGACCGCTCCAAGCCAGGCAGCCCGGCTCCGATGTTCCTGCCCAGCTCCAGCCTCGCTCAGCACGCACTGTCTCGCGCCAGCTCGTGACTTCTTTCTCCGCCGACCGCCTGTCACGTGCCCTCTGCGTCGTCTTTCACCCTTGGCTCCCACAAAGTTAAGGAAAGGGAATGTACCATTATGCTCAGTGAAGTTCGGTGAGAAGACCCGGGACTCGAGCAGGAATGCCGTTATCCTTGGTGTGACCCTACGAGACTCTCTTGCTGCTTTTGCTGGGGTTTATCTAACTGAAGTACCTGTCTGAAAAGTAGAAGAAACATATGTGCATAACACTCATTATTCACAAGAAAATTTGTCAACATCCAAAATGACCCATGGAGAAAACTATGTGAGGAATTTGTTGGCCACGTTGGCCGAGTCACCTCTCGTGGCCAATGTTTCATTGCAACTTTAATTGTAGTAAACAGTCAAAGGGTATATTACAAGGTGCAATTTGGTTTTGTGCGAACCTACAACGCACAAAACAGCACTCTAACACAGTATGTAGAGGTACCTCTAAACAAATTCCAGGGTTTCATGGAGCCTCCTTCAGATAACTGATGTTGAACATAAAATGTGTGCACCAAGGAGTGAGCAAACAGTGACTTTCAATTAGTCTCAAGCACCAGCGACATGTCGACGAGGAGTGCAATGCGTAGAATGTCGTCTAGAGGTGTGCAGCCAAGATAAAAAGGCGAGATATAACGATATCAGAATAAGATCACACCAAAAAGGTTCCGTTACAATCTAGGCACAATAATGAGTCAACCGACGTACAGCCGCGATTCACTCTGTGTTGAGGTGAAACATGGCCAACAAAATATAAAAAAGGCGTCTTTTTTTTTTTTTTCTGTACATCATTTGCTCTGCGCCGTTGATAGAAGGACAGTTGGGCGGCGTCACAAAGTCACTCGCTAGCGCTTTTTCAAATTCGTTCATCGGCACTCATGGTATACCCGGGAGGAGAAAAGTACGAGCTCAGAGCCGAGCCGCCGAGCGTCGATTGCGGCTTTCCTAAAGAGAAGCTCCGGTACACTTCGGCGACTCGTCAGCTTCAGACGCCTCTTCGAACGAGCCTGACGTGCCCGCGAATCCAATGAGCCGAACGGGCGCGGCAGAAAGCACGCCGGAAGGAAGGGGGCTGGAGGCTGAGTATCCGAAAGAGACGCGGCGCTGGTTTCTATGTCTATTTCGTACATGAGATAACAAACTGGCAAAGCTAGCCGAGTGTGAACAGTGACCGACGTTACATTGGAGCACACGCAGTCGAAATGACGCCTGCAACAGAGCACAGCTAGGTGCTTTCAACAGGGGACACAGGCGTTCAAAAAGGCCTCGATTTAAAAACTTCACTTATCCTTTCTGTCCTTCGGTGTTTACTTTGATCCGCGTACGCCAAAGCACTCAATGCTGCAAGTAATAGAGTCGTGTATACGTACCTTTCGAAGCAATTGAAAGTGTGTAGGTTTCGCTCGATGCCCACGACATCGAGCGACATCGAACGACATCGAGTGCGACGAACGCCAATCACGCCGGCTGGCCAGGCTGGCCAGGCTGGCCGGGTCGCGCAACACACAGTCGTTGACACAGACATAGTGGTGACAGTGGCGCAACCGACGCCCGCCCGCTGCGCACTGCGCATGCTCGTCTTGGCGGCTCGCCAGCACGCCGGCGACGCCGGCATCGCGCCGGGCCAGCCGGGCTCGCTCTCTTCGAAGTTCGAACAGTTCGAAGTCCAAACTGTGGCCCAAACTGCTTGCGCGCGCGCGCGTGTTGGCGATGGAAACTGTCTTCTCAAAAAACGAGGCTGTAACGTATCGTTTGATGGCGCAAGTGCACGTATTTTTCACGTCGTTTTTTGGACAGTGTGTGTATCTCGCGAAACAGGTGACGAAAAGTGGTGGGTGAAATGTGCTCGCATGTCGTCGTGGATTTTGTGTACCACGTAGGATTACCCAGAAAGGTGGGTCAATATCGATAAATGTGTGCGTAAGAAGCAACTACATGCACGGGACCTGTCAAACCTATTCACCGTCATTATTTTATCGTGCAAACCGACATTGTCACGTATAGCGTTCGATTTCGGTCCCAACACCGGTAACTAGTATATCGTGTCATGATGTTGTATTTCTCACCGTCGGTAACTTCGTATTGATATCGTATTCGATGTGGTGGTCGTGTCCCAACACCGATAATTTCTTGTTGTATTGCGATGGTGTGTTGCAACATCGAATTGCATCCCGGTACATTGGGTTTATCGTTAGGCGATCAACTTTTGTTGCATTACAACTGCAATAAACATTTGTTGGAAAACGATCACTCCAATGAGCACGTCGTTATTGGGCTTTCTCATTAAAAGGTAGGTCGCGGCGGGTGTTCCGGCTAGTTATTCTGAATGGTTTGGTGGTTGTCTAGTTTCAAGCGCGCGAGGCTGTGTGTACTGTGTGCCGTACTAACAGCTGTACATACTTGCACTGTCGATCAATGTTAATGTGTTCGCAACGCAGAACGTTTATGTTATGTGTGTATCCACACCCAATATATTTTTCGCGTATTGCCGTGTGGATATGCCAACGTAATGTATGTTGGTAACTTGGTACCCGCGTTCTGAGATATATGCACGCGATATCATATTGTATTCTCCTTTGGTCCCATGATCGACGACCAATATTTGTATATCGTGTGGCCGTACAGTATGTCCATGTCGGTCACCAATATGCACGCGATGTCGTATTCTATTCCAATAACCGTGTAGTATATCGGGGTATTGTGCTCCGATATCGTGTTGTATACCAATAACCGCAAGTTATATCGGGATATTGTGCTCCAATATCCTGTTGTATACCAATAACCGCATACTATATCGGGATATTGTGCTCCGATATGAATTCCCATCGTGCGTATTGGGTTAATCGGATAACAATAAGTTTTTATTGGTTTCCATCATCATCTTTGGAATACAATATTTCCAATGAGCCGAGTTCATATTGGCCTTTTTCAATAGGGCTATATCAAGTTTAGTAACAAAATACAAGGCTACTGACATTTGACAAGAATTCAGATGCAAAATAAAATGTGTATTTTATATCTTTGGACTACCACAGTCACTCGTACATATGCAGCTTTAAGCATCGACTAGAAGAGCAACGCAACCTTATGTACTCCATAAAATGCTGTGCATTGCGTGTCTCCATAAAAAAAATTAAGGTACCACAACATGTTTCAGAATAAAGCAGTCCTTGCTGACCTGTTTTCATTAAATACAAATGTTCTTAATCCCTGTTCATAAAATACAGTAATCCCTACACCCAAGTTAACATACTAAGCTATATCTAATTACTTTGGATGGAAAAATATATTGTCTTAAAAATATCACAGCCACTAATACATATGCAGCATAAACACTGACTAGAAGAGCCCACAGGCTCCATGTTCAAAAAAAAAGGGTTGTGACTAAGCTGAATCTGTGTAATTTAGAAACAACTGAAGTTCACCTTTTTTTTCACAGTTTGAAGAGCAGAGTCAATTTCTTTTATGCGCTCGAGTACTTTGGGCAGTTTAGAGTTCACATCTCTTAGCAGGAGGTGTCCACTCCCCACCTTGTCCATGTCCTTAACTGCCTCACCCTTGCTTATGAGTTATTGTGCACTCAGTAGAAGTGCTTTAAGAGAAGACAGTTGTGGGGGACAGTGAGCGGACTGCGTGTAGAAGACGGCGCGCCAGCAGGAAGAAGAAAAAAGGACGCTCGTGGTAGGTGCGCGAGGACGAGAGTTCGAAGGGCCGTGAGGAACGAAAGAGGCGGTGCTGAACGAGCCCAGGCAAGACCTGGACCACAGGGCAACCGTGGCCTTCCACAGCATCGACGGCACAATTTGAGTATTTATAAAGTGTTTGTCTATGATAGCGCTTCTTGTGTGACTTCCTCGGAGCGAGTAGAACTAGGCCTGATCGGGAATTGACAGGCGACCCACATAACTGGGGCAGTTATGTGGGTCGCCTGTCAATTCCCGATCAGGCCTAGTTCTACTCGCTCCGAGGAAGTCACACAAGGAGCGCTATCATAGACAAACACTTTATAAATACTCAAATTGTGCCGTCGATGCTGTAGAAGGCCACGGTTGCCCTGTGGTCCGGGTCTTGCCTGGGCTCGTTCAGCACCGCCTCTTTCGTTCCTCACGGCCCTTCGAACTCTCGTCCTCGCGCACCTACCACGAGCGTCCCTTTTTCTTCTTCCTGCTGGCGCTGTCTTCTACACGCAGTCCGCTCACTGTCCCCCACACAGTTTGAACGAGACTGAAAATGAGATGTAGCTGATCAGGCGCTGATCCCTGCGGGGCAGGCTGCCTTCTTACGTGACAAAAAGCCCACCAACTTCTCTCTACCCTACCCAACCCCCCCCCCCCCCCCCCCCAAACCAGAAACTTATACGAGTAGAGTGGCTATAGCAAGTTAAGGTGCGTTCTTGACAGGAATCGGCAGCGCGGGAGTGTTGTACGGCATTTCTGATGTAACCCCCACTCCTCCACGCTAAACGAAAGAAGCAAAAAAGTGTGTAGCACTGCCAATTAACCAACTCGCTTAAGATCGCGGGTATTGTTTTCGCCAGTGGTTTGACGGCAGTAGACAACACACGACAGCGTGCACATTCGCGCACACAATGATGGTTTTGGTTTCGTTTTGACAAGACAAATGAGCTCGAGAACGGATGTGCCTGTGCTCGCGATTCTTCACGGCTAAGCGTCCAAATATGGTAGGCTACCAAATAACAGGTAAAGCTAGTAAAGACCACTTACTTCTGCTCATGTTAATGGCCAAGGTAGCCCACCGGTGCCGAGGCACCATCTTCCACGATCACGGCAAATCGGGACCACGGGCAACTGCATGCGCGCTCCAACCGCGCCAACCAACTATGCCCGAAACCAAACCGATGTGTTCGTATATAAACTCTTTGTAGTAAAAAACGACATCGCACTCTCGATTAACTAAAATCGACGAATCGCCCTGAGGTTAGACATGGTTCGGAGCCCCAGTCGAGTTGGTACGAGTCACCCGCAGTGACACCTAAGCAAAAGTACCCACCTCATGGTGGCCCGTGACCAACCGTTTTCCACTAAATTTAGAGAAAACACTAAAAAAAAAAGTTGAAATTGGTGTTTTGGAGCAGGCTGGCGCCGGGAAGTGAATTGGCGCAGGGTGGCACAATTGGCGCAGCGCTTCCACCCCTGCATATTTTGGCGAAATGTAGCAGGATGTAGCAGAGTTAGCCCCTTGGCGCAGAGTTTGGCACAAGTGGTGCAGCAATCACATCACTGATGTTGGCAGCGCCGATTCCACAGAAATATTAGTAGTTGCACGGTGTTTAATTGGGGGAAGACCTGTGTTTCGGAATTAGTTCAATTTGAAACAAATGCATAATCGTAAACATATAATTAAAACAGTGCAAACGAGCACAAAGACAAGTAGAAGACGGCACAGAGACACAGCGCTGACTCACGACTTGCTCTCTTTTTCGTCTTCTTAAAACACATCAACATAAAAAGACGCGAGTCAGCGCTGTATCTGTGTCCCTTCTTCTAATTGTCCTTGTGTTCGTTTGCGCTGTTTTAATTGTGTTTTTTTATACACCACCGACTAGCTCACCTCAAAACATTACTGCAAATGCAAAACATTCACCTTTCTTTTTCTCTCTTTTTTTTTTTTTTCGAGATTGATTAGCGCTAAGTGGCGCATTTGGGTAAAGATTGAACTGTACTCGCGCTCCGGGGACCTGTAAAAAGGCATGAAAGCAGGAAATAAGCAATCCTATTTTTCCTTCAGTATTTTCTTTTTCTTCTTTCTGTTAAACAAATTATTATTATTTGCAAAAAAAAAACAAAAAAAAAAAACGGAAGCTTTGCGACAGTTAGCGCATTAACATTGTGTGGTGCTTAGCTGGTGGGGTCAGTAATGTGGAAACGGACGGCGAGCAAACAATTTTCAAGGCGCAATTGCCGCCCCCCTCAAGCACACACACACACAGATGTCCCAAACTTCCGCTGCCGCTGCGCCCGAAACCCACAACTTTTAACAGCCATCACATCTATCGTCGTCTACTCACAAACGCGCAAATCATTTTTAAAAAAAAAAAAAGAAAAGCTACAGTAACAAATGGCCAGGGACTTTTCAGGCATTCCCCCATCTAGTAGTGTTAAAAGTGTTCAGAAGACGTGTATTGCCTTGTGTTGAGATGATGAGGGCAGTGGCATAGGAAAGGGAAGGGTCTTTTTTTAATGATATTGTTTACTGGAAATGACTGATTTTCCTGCCCCCCCCCCCCCCCTTTTCCTATGCCACCGCATCTAAGCACAAGACAATACAGGGATAAAAATTGTGCACTGCTCTAGTTTTTTTTCTTTCGTCAATAAAAATATTTAACCCTAGAAAAAAAAATTATCGCCAGAACCTTTTTTTTTGGGGGGGGAGGGGGGGGGGGGGTTGATGTGAGTGGGATGCCCCCGAGTTTTGGAGTGGGTAAAATATTACGAAGTGTCTAGCGTTACGTCCAACGTAACCCAAGTTAAGTCCAAATCTCCGCCTTTCCCAGGTTCACGGGGGAGAGAGAGGAGGGCGGGGGGGTTAGGTATACGTGTTTCAGTGCTCCGACTGGACGTAATGCTAGCCACAGTGAAAATATTAATAAAAAAGTCCCACCCCCCCCGCCACAAACACATACATACACATTGATCACCTGCGTCCAATCCCCGAGGCATGAGCACCGTTTACTCTCAAGTGCACCACCCAAGGCTAGTTATTTCTTTCAATAAAAGCAAAAATATTTGCTTGAAATTAATCTAATTCTGAAACTAGAACCGCCAATATTCCCACTGACTCGTCGAGGCTGCATAAAAGCCGATGTCATTCACAACACAAAATTGAGAACATCTACACCACTGTGTTCATAGTTTCCCGCGACAAAATCGCGCCACACGCGGAGTGCAGGTAAATAAGGTCCAACAGACTCAACAGCTTCGTGCTAACGAGCGTCCGCGCCTCCGCACGCAATCCGCACTCGGAGTGCGGATAAGAATCCAGCACAAACCGCACTCGGAGTGCGGATAAGAATCCAAAATTATTCGCACTCGGAGTGCAGATTAGAATCCACCACCGGGCGCGCTGAGTCCGTGCTCCGGAGCGCGAGAGTTAGATGCTCCTTTCACTAAACGGACAGGAGTGCCACCGGAGACCGACACTCGAGCGCGCTCTTCGTGCACCGAAAATTTCTCGTAGCGCGAGTGACTTCTTCGCGCTCCATGACGTCACGTAAACAAACGAGATGGCTGCGCTGCTTTTGAGACCGTCGAGTCGAGAGGCGTAGCCGGAGCGCTGCCCCTTTTCAGTTGATCAGTGCTTAATCCAGCAGGTAAAAACGATTTGATTTGAAAGCTAAGACAGCAATTAGCGTTCCGAAAAAGGTTTGTTCGTGCATCTCGCATGAAAAAGAAATTCGTCTGTCAAACGGTAGCATGCCGGTAGCACAGCGACAGAAAAGTTGCAGAGATGAGGAGATTAGGACCGCGCTTTTCCTTTTATAATGCTTAGCCCAGCGAATAAAGATACTTCGATTTGAAAGCCAAAACATCAGCAAGCGTTGAGGAAAAGGTTTGCTCGTGCGTCTTGCCTGAAAACGAATTGATCTCTCGGACGAAGTGCTGATAGCTCAGCGACAGAACAGTTGTGATGAAAGGACAGTCAGACCGCTGCCCTGCTTAGAATGCTTAGCCCAGCCGCAGCGAATAATGATACATAGATTTAGTGATGGGACGAATCTTTATCCGAATCGAGATTCGGAGCTGTTAAGTTTGTAAAAATCCTGCTTATTAGTTAAGGTGATTTTTGTTAGGAAAGTTTATCTTTCCAGAGTTGCGTCGGCATTGTTTTTTTTAGCTTTCTATGTTTGTGTCGGCGGGGCCAGAGCGGCCGCGACGCGGGAGCGGTTCCCCCCGCGGTCGTTAAGAAGCGTCTCGGGTTTCGGAAGCCTGCTCGGACCGGGAGCGGGACAGCCCGCGCTTGGAGGCTTGTAGCTTTTAGCCGAATGTGCCTGTACATAGAGGTTTTTGCCACTTAGTATCAAATTGTCGCTTTTTACCCGTTGTAATAATTTAGCTGTTGGCGCCAGCCCGTCTGCGTAAAATGCAGGGGTTGATTCTAGAAAGAATTTGGATTTGGCCGTTGGAAGTGCTAGGCTGACAGCTTGTTGACCATTGGAGAACAGCGTACCACGTGGGAGTGGTGAAATTTGAAGGGATTGGTTGGAGCCTGAGGGGAAAGGAGGCCCCTACGAGGCTACAAAAGGATCCCCGAGAGGGATTCTGCAGATTTGGCTTCGATTCGATTTTGGGAGACTGGGAACAAAAGTATGGGGTTTAATTTTGGGATTTTTAACTCACTGTTGAGTTGTTTTGTTTCATAATAAACGTGGCCACACTGGTCACTGTAAAGCCAACCAACGTCGCAATGTGTTCAGCGGGATCGAACAACTTTTAGTCCTTTTTTTTATTAGTATCAACTTCCCGGGGGGCTGTCATCGGGCGACCACCGTCATCGGTCATCCCCATCCGGACCAGGACGCGCCCATCCCTACACCACCAGGTCCAGGCCCCGGCGAGGAAAGTTGACTGGAGCCAAATCTGAAGATTCGGAAATATTCGGAAAAGTAGCCGAATCTCAAGCGATTCGGAAAAGTTCGGAAATATTCAAAGCGTTGCCATGGTTGCCAGATCACGTTGATGAGTGTTTCAACTTTTCGTGATACTAAATTCACTAAATTCTACAAAGTGCACAAAATAATGTTGTAATATAATATCATAGTAATTAATAAAATGCTCCGCTTTGTTTATAATATTTTGGATGTTTGTCGAGAATGGAAACCAGGCATCGCGGGAACATTGGTTTCGGTTTCGGATTACGACCAAAATAGGCATGCTTGGTGCACGTCGAAATACAAGCATACAAGCGCATGTTTTCATCGCCCGAGTGGCTTGGGCGGTTCGGCGACAGCCGGTTGTGGACCAGGGACCTCCGGCGTTGTCGGCGGGGCCATGGCAGTGACAACCGCGGCTGCCCTTCCAGCGAAACGCAAGCATGAAAAGTTCCCCGTGGATCTCGTCAGGCTGGGTGTGGCCGCCCCAGCCCGGCGGGATTCAGCGGACGTGCAGCCGGTGCAGCGGCGGGTCGACGGAGCGAGCCGATGTTTACGTGAAGATCAAGTTCTCATACTCCGGGGTTACCAGAGACGTCGACCGCGCTCGTCCGAGGTTCGCAGCAGTCCCCCCCCCCCACAAGAGATTGATGCCGTACGTGCAGTTCGGCAGGAACACATCTCGTGCCCATAATTACGGTCATAGTAGCACCAGTAGACCACACCACACATATGTAAGTATGTTCGATTCGATTATCTTTAACGTGTGTCCACTGCGGTATTGTTATCGAAACACGGGAAACAATCTAAAAGTCCTTGCGCCATACTATGTACGGCGGAAGGAGTATTTGTACCTTTCTAGTTAATGATATCTTAATTAGTGTTTGTTCCTGAACAATAAAGTTGCGCTAGACACCCCCATGTTGTTTCTTTTTCATCAAATAAAGTTCTAGTATACAATACTTGCTGCCGAGACGAAGAAACGACAGTGCCAGTGTGACGTTTTTCTTCGCCGGTGCCGTACGCGGTCGAAGCTGGGACGAGCAACACTTTTCATCGCTCTCGCGTTTTACGCAGCTAGCTCTAGAAAAGGAGACGAATCATTTCCTTGCCTGAATATATTTATTGAGCGTTGCGCCACATTATGTATAATAGACAGCATTTCGCTACATTTTACCGATCCCCTCGAAACCGCACAGAAACCAAAACCGTGCATTTGTTAGGCCTACGCCAACCACACCGATCAGCTCAGCTGGACCTGGGTGCGTGCCAGGATTTAGAATGACAGTACAGTACATACCATAAGTTGAAGTAAGCAAGACGAAATCTGGAACACAACTGACCGCATTGGCGAGGTTTATGACAAGGTTCATAGTGCCGTCTGCAACCAGCAACGAACCTGACGAATCTCCGAATCTGCCGAATATTCGTCACGGGAAGTTCGGAAATTTCCGAATCCGACCGAATCCGAATCTCCAGTGATTCGTCCCATCACTACTTAGATTGGAAAGCCGAAACACCAGTTAGCGTTGCGGGAAAGGTTTGCTCCATGCATACCGCCTAAAAACGAATTGACGTGCAATTGAACAACGGTGCGCCGGTATCGGCGTGCTTCCGTCTCGCTGCGAGACGGAACGGACGGAACCAGGGAATCTGACAAATTTGGGGGTTTCCTGCGTCGACGAGCCGGTTCAAGAATGTTTTCTTTAATTGAAATCGTAACAGCATGCATGGTCAATAGGGAGTATTCACTGGACGCCATATTTGAGGGCGATGTTTAGAGCGCATGCTCGGAACGAGCTCACGTTAATAGGCTCCTAAGACCGGCAATCTTGGTGGTGCGAAACGCACGTGGCGAAAGAACTATGGAAGCACGCCGTCAGCACAGGCTCAGCAGTCGCGCACATAGCTATGGCCGCCAGTAAATACGCCCTATAAATACAGGGTGAAACAAGGAGACACCAGGCTCTTTAAATCGACCGGAAAATTCGGTTTCTTAACCTATCGCGCCACGACTTTGTGCAGCGTTGCCCACAGATGGTGCACTTTTTTTGTAAAATTTGCAAAGAGCGAACTTACCTGAGGAAAAAGTAAAGAAAGAAAAAGGCTTAGCTCCTATGGAAACGCAGCGACGCCACCGGTCTTCAAACAACACGGCGCCGTTTCGCACGGGTCACAAGAGATGGCGCAACGAACGCCGCCAACGAACGAGCAAACGGCGCCGAGAGCCAGCGCCTCAAGCAGACAATCTTTTCGACTCAAAAGCGGAGCGCGTTCCGCGGGCGGCGACAATCGCAGAAACAAAAACAAGTGCGGTAACAACAAGGAACTGCAGTTCCTGTCTGCGTCGTCTGCTCGTTCGTTGGCGGCAGTTGGCGTCACGACCGCTTGCGCCATCTCTTGTGGCCCGTGCGAAATGGCACCGTGTTGTTTGAAGACCGGTGGCTACGCTGCGTTTCCATAGGAGCTAAGCCTTTTTCTTTCTTTACTTTTTCTTCAGGTAAGTTCGCTCTTTTCAAATTTTACAAAAAAAATGCACCATCTGTGGGCAACGCTGCACAAAGTCGTAGCGCGATAGGTTAACAGCGAGTTCGTTTCACGGCACTCGTGCCCACGCGTGCCCACTCGCAGCAAGGAACGGGTTCGTTTCGGCCGGCGCTCCACGAGTGGTTGCACTCTCCGAGTTCGTTTCATCGCTGACACCCCACGCGTGCATGCGCTCGCTGCACCGAGAAAACCGGGAGTGCGCCAAAATGCAATCCCGTCATGCCTCGCTCCGGCGGGGCCGGCGAGGAGCGGGAGCAGACGACGAGGGTTCGTCTCCTACGATATGTGGCGGAACCGAACAGAAAAAAAAGAGGCGAGAAACAGACGCACAGTGCTGTCTGTTTCTCGCCTCTTTGTCCCCGTTTTTTGAGCGCTAAAATGTATTCCAAAAGTGCACTGTGCTGTCTGTTTCTCGCCTCTTTGTCCCTGTTTTTTGAGCGCTAAAATGTATTCCAAATTCTAAAACCAACTAGCCCAACAATCTATTCTACGGAAAAAAAAAAAAGTAGATTTTCTGATAGAAATCATGTCCCGCGGGCAACGAAATGAAACGCGAACTTGAATTGTGAGCGCCTGCTATTTCACAAAGGAAGCAATTGACAACCCGTGATTCATTTGCAGGTTTTAAATCACTCTGTTGCCGTAAAAACGCTGAAATATACCAGTGTGTAAAGAAATGCTCAGAACAAACGCAACAGCGGCCCTCGAGATTTCTATCACCATCCGTGTGCGGGTGAAAAATTGAACATTTGTCGATAAAACTCCCCCTCTGACTACCCAATAAGCATCAGAGAAAGCTAAAGATGGTGACTTTACCCGAGGATTGGGCAACATCATCATGTTTAACATTTACCTAAGCAGCTAACTTGCCCCGTCGTATTTTGTTCGAGAAAGCTCTCGTTCTCGACGCCCTCACCAAAGCTAATATCTAATCCACCTATAGTGACGATTTAAATCAAAAATCCCAGTTTCGCTGGATATTCTAACAGGCTAGTTTTAAGCCGTACCCTTTCAGTGGTTCACGCATAATACCATGCTCAAACGGATCAAGCTTCTGCTCGGACAGCATCATTAGTTTTCTTCAGTGTAAACGGTTATAAGAATTGAAAGATCGCAACCAGCTGCTTTGTAGACAGCTGGTTGCGGAAATTTACGCCGTCTGTAACTAGCTCTACGGCAGCCGAGCTGCTTGAAGGCATTGCAACTATAAACTACAGGCTGCAGTTGCCAACGTTAGTAGATAAACGTTGGTAGCAACTGCATTCTCGCATTCCCACGCATCACTCAGAACCTCTATGCTCGGAACAGAAAGGCGCTAGTTTCGGTTTGAAGTCGGTGCCTTTTCTACAACATAGATGGCGGCAGCATCAGTCTTCTGCACTCGGTGCATTTGGCAAGTTCGTTTGAGTCCAGTTTTCCGTGCAACACTCTGTGAGTGCGATGCCTTCTGTTAGAGAACTCGAACGGTGCCAGTGCGTGCGAAACGAACTCGCTATAAGAGACCGAATTTTTCAATTAGAGCCTGGCGTCTCCTTGTTTCACCCTGTAGATCGGCCATGGTAACCTTCCAGATATGTGCACAAAACGGGTCTTAAAACCTTTCAGGAATATTAAAACGTTCGTAGAAACTTCATACGTTGCAGTCTCTTTTGCTTTAGAGTCTGCGGCTCCACACGGGCCTAATTATTTATCTTCGAAATATTTTCGGCTTCTGCCACCCGTATTCACGGTCGGAAGGAGCTTACTCGATCTACCGATCTAACTCTAGGGTAAAGGTGGTTATCGAAAACCTACCCGCGTCCAGCGTTTCTCTATTTTTGTTGTCACGTGACATAATCGGCCAGTGTAACTCGGATCCATTCGAGTAGGTTTGGAACGCAGCCTCGGTGTATCGCGCCATAGAGTTATTATAATGTACGCTAGAGGTTCAACTGGCGCTAGTGTGCTGCTGCAAATTGAAGCAGACAGCAACCAGTCCGAAATGGACTTCCGGTAATGCATTTCTATGGGAAAAAGCGAGTGCATTTTCTCTCTGCGCTCGATTATAAGGGCAAATATCACGAATTATTTGCACGTACAAGGCACATTGGAACATTTCTCAGTCACGCAGACGAAATAATTGGTCAGTTACAGTGTTTTTATTTAAAATTCATGGCACGAAAAACGGTGCTAAAACCGCTTCGTACGCGTATTTATGTGCATTGTCGGACACTGTTAGCGCGAACACGGCGTCGGCGCTTTCCAGCGTGAGGGACACACGTGCCAAACGAAAGAAAGACATCTGGAAAACCAAGAGAGACGGCAAGAACTACGTAGTAACACTGGATAAGTAACTCCTTGTGCATGCAGACGATCAAAAATAAATTGAAAGCCACGTAATATAGTCAGATTTGCAATAAATAATTACTGCTTTATTCTTTCTGCTCATGAATATGTGCGAAGATGCTTGTTTTGGGTTCAAATCATCACCCGCACCCTCCAAATCTTTGCAAATAGGAAGAAGCCAGAGAACAGGTGCCCGATTAAAACTGCCCGACATAGGAAATAATAAAAAGACATCTTTCGTAGCCCACATACTTTATTTTTTTAACAGATCGTAAAAATGCACGACGGAGTCATTTTCATATAGTGACATAACGGGCCTATTACCAATATATAAGCGCCACCGGGATGCCAGCGAACCTTGAACGCACTCTACATCCCTTTCGATTGTTATTTTCCATAGAATCGTCGCTTATTTTTACATACCAGCCATGGAACACAGGTTTGGCCCTGAAATATAACGAAGTTTAATATCGTTCAGTGGTAAAGAATAATGGTGTAACTAAATCAATTACACTTTCACAATATTAATAAAGGTACATACTATCCGGTACAACCGAAATAACAAAAGTTATTTATGTTATTTTTCGTCGAAGAGACAAAATACAGGCGCGTTTTCCCATAGGAATGCACAGGAGCACCGCAAAAGTAGACTGGTTGCTGTCTGCTTCAATTTGCCTCCCGGAAGTCGCATAGACACTAGCGCCAGTTGAACCTCTAGCGTACATTATAATAACTCTATGTATCGCGCTCTTGTACGCTATGCGCCGTTTAGTTGCTGCGCTCGGAGTATGAAACTCGGAGCGTCGGAGTAGAAGTAAAGAAGCGCCGACTTAACGCGCCCACTATCCGCACTCGGAGTGCGAATAGGGACAGCCTGGATGGACTGGCTCGACAGTTATCTATTCGGACGTGACACGCCCGGCGGCGATGCTCTAAGCTCGTCTCTGTCATTTCGGCATGCGTCTCACTTCAAACTTTGAATCTACAACGAAAACTAGCTGGATATCCCTTCAAATATGTTCAATCAACACGCTATCGAATCAATTTAAAAGAGAAACACTTGCTTACCGGCGGTTAGCGTTTCCCGAAGGTGCTCCGGCAGCCGTGCACAACCTACGGTCGTTGACTAGACGCAGCGTCCATCAGCGTCTCCCAGATATCGTTTGTTACTCTTGACAAAGTACCTGTAAAAGAAAAAAGAAAAAAAAACCTAAAGGAATCGGTTTAAAGGTAGAAATGAACGCAAACCACAGAGCGACGTCGACGACGGCGCGGTTCCCATTCGTATGCCAGACTGTGCCAGACCATCTGGAACTACGGAGCAAGTGGTGGTCACAAACGCAAAACTTTAAATGCTCTTTTTTTTTCTTTTTTACTTTTTCTTTTACACGTCGTATAAACAAAGACTTTTTTTTTAACGCGCCTGCGACAATATTTTTGGAGTGACCGCTTTTGTGCAAAATTGTTTTGGTGCTACTGTAAATTCTGAATACTTTTGGTTTCGGTTTCGGAAACCAGGTGGAGAAAAAAAAAATAAATAACGCTTTCGGAAACACTAGTAGCATCTCTGGAATCGTGATTTGAAAGGGAGATTGGAAATGACGCTTTCTTTTGTTTTAGTACAAACTCTGCCTTTATTTTTTTATTTGTGCTTTTTTTAACAATTGTGCTATCCCTTCGTCGCGTAGTACAAACTGTGCCTGCATTTATTTATTTTTTGTGCATTTTTGTGCAAAATTTATTGTTTTTTTATGCTATGGCTTCGTCACATTTTCCAAAATAAATATTTGTAGCACTTCAACAACCAATATAAATGAATTAATGAAAATGAATAAATATAAAGACGAGCTACTCTAATTCACAGTATGCCCGAAGTGCAATGTGTGCCCTTAAAGATATTTTTAAATGCAAAGGATATTTATTTTCATAAATGCTTTCAGTATAGAAATAGGGATTTCGTGAGCATGGCTTGCAGCCAAGATGACGTCACAGTATTTCGGGACACTGATGCTATCATCCCAAAGGCGCTGGAAATTCTAACTATACTCCATCTCAGAAATGTCTGCAGTAAAGACAAAGGCGCAGAGAGGCGCGTGAGCATCGCTCAGTAGTGTGCTTTTGTTTGTACGAGCACTCGTTCCTAAGAGGCACTTTCTAAAGCCACGCGCTCGTGCCGGTGCCTTTGTCTTCACTGCAAAAATTTAAAAGTTCTTTTTTTTTTTTTTTTTTGCACTTTTTGAAGTAGGTTGGCCGTAGTTTGTTCCCAAAATGACTTTTTGTTTTCTTTTTACACCCTATTTTTAAACGAAGTTTGAAAGTCTCCGGAGGCACACCTGACCGCTACTGTTAATATTCTGCCGCTTTTTAGCTACACAAATTACATTTTGTTTTACATCCAGGGCCAGTGGCGTAGCCAGGGGAATCCCCCCAATACCCCCCAAAAATGTGGCGGTAGGTTGCGGCATACGGACCCCCCCCCCCCCCCCCCCTTTCTAAAAAAAAATTATGTCACCAATGTCCAGGGCTAACAAAATGAAACGCACACAGACACAGACGCACGCACACGCGAGCGCGCAAGCACACACACAGACGCACATTCATGCAGACATGCACACGCACGCACACATACACGCACGCGCACAGGGACGTGGCATACACGCGCGCGCTCCCGCGCACACATGTACACAGACGCATGCACGCCTGCACACACCAGTGTTGCACACGCAATCGCATCCGCAGAGGCACGCACACGGACTCTCGCGTTCACACCTACACACACACACAACGCACGTAAAAAATGCATTTAATTTTTTTTAACGTAATCTAAACCCTGAGACAAGGAGAAATAAAATAACGGAGAGGGCAAGTTGTTTTGTCTGTTATTTTGTTTATCATTGTCTCAGGGTTTACTTTCGTTCCTTGATCTTTCAAACCTGCCGGAATCTATACCGAAACTACCTCAAGTATAGTTTCGGTTTCTTTGCATGGGCAGCGCTTTGAAGTAAAACCGGTAAAACCGTTAAACCGGCCGGCCAAGACAATCCATCTTTTCAAAGGCGTCGCAGACTCGCAGTTTCATCTGGACGTGTCGTTTGGACGTGTTGACGGATTTAAAGGTGAGATATTATCTGCAACATTCTTTCGAACACTTGTTATTTGTTCGGGAACCTGGTAAGTGAATATAGAAACCTTTTATTGTTTACATTTGATGGGAGCGACCACATATGTCTGACTGTCTCTTTCGTGGTTTCGCGGATTGCTTTCGCTCTTTAAAAATACCCTGTGCCCAGAGTGCCCTCATTCAATTGCATTCTCACGGCGATATTTTGGGGTTCTTATGGTATCCGCGAGTTTATCGTTAATATTTCATTTTGAAGTTCTGCCGTGGTACTAGCGACATGATAACGGGGTGATCTGTTTTCAACTTCTCAACCTGTACTATCGCGGACAAAATGAGCTGAAACAGCGCTCCGACCTGCGCCGCCCGTCGCCTTGCTCCGCACGCACGGCGCACCCTGAGGCCGAGATAAATTCTCTCTTGCGCTCGCTGCGCCACTGCGCTCTTCCGTCCGTCTGCTAGCGAGACGGCTTGTGCGACAGCGGGCGTGTGCGTGGTAGGGCGGCAAGGGGGGGTGGGGGTGGGGGGGGGGGGGGATGTGCATTGTTGAGGTTGTTCAGGCCACAGTTCAGGCGTTCCGCTCTAGGCAAGGGGTTTTGCGATTCGGCAAAGTCCCTCTCACGCCACGAGGCGGCGTTTTGTTGCCTCCGTCGGATGATTCATGTCCCCATGTGGCGTGTAATTTTTACGGTCACTGTCGTCGTCGCTGCCCTCCTCGGCCTTTTCTCCGTAGCCAAGGGCCTGTGCTATACCGCACTACAACGCGCTTTGCCCTTTATGGTCGATGCTACTGCGTTGTCCCAAGATGTGTTCGACAGTCTCCTCGTCGCCGCCACAGAGCTCGCAGTTTGGATCTTCTCCATAGAGCTCAAATCTGCGTCTCTGGGTCAGTAGGGAGCCCGTTCGAGCCTGGAACAGCAGCGCGCTGGCTCGGTCTCCCTGCTAGTGTGGATAGGGCGCTGGTTCCTTCTTGTGTTTCCTGTACAGTTGGAGGCTGAGTATCCTCTGCATTGTCCTTCTCCAGTCCTCTATTCCGGCCCGTGTCACCACTGCCCGTATTGTCCTCGCCCACTCCTGTTCCGTCGTCACCAGATGTCTTGTTGTGCCCCCACCGTACTTAGAATCTATGGTCTTTATTCTCTTCATCCAGCCTGTCTTGGGCCCCTGATATCGGATGTGGTAGTACATCCTTCTGGCGTAGCTCTCCTGGGGAAGGAACTTTAGTCTGCCCATGTATGCAAGCTTCGACCTGTCCTCTCGTATCTCGTGGGTAGACATCCCATTTCCCCGGTTACCGCTGCGTTTGCTGTGCAGCTCAGCAGCCATCTCCCCAGTCTGTATTGATGTCGATCCAGACACTTTACCACTGTCTCGCTGTATGTAAGCGCATCATTCGCGTAAGTCACTGCTCGGACTGCAAGGGATTTCCATAGTAGCCTCCCAATAGAGTGTCTATTGTATGAGTGCCTGGCGAGATGCCACACCACCCCCTTCAGTTTGTTTGATTTTTTAATTACGTTTTTTTCCTCTTTGGTCAGGTAGTCCTTGCTGTGCGTTATTGTTACACCAAGGTAATTGTAGGCTGTTGTTTTCTGTACTGTTTAATTTTGTAGGTAAAAGCTGGTGTCCAAATTCACGTTGGAGCCCATCCACTGCGTTCTTCCTGCATTAAATTTCAGGTTGTCCCTCGCTGCCACCCCTGTGCAGATGTCAATCATGTGCTGCATATCGGTTGAGGACTCTGCGAGGAGCACCACATCATTCGCAAAGGCCAGGCATGGGATGCGCGTGTATTCTTCCTGTCCGTCCTTGGTCGTAGTGCTCAAGCCCAACCCTGCCCCTTCCTCCTCCAGATGTTTGAGATGTTTGAGAAGGTCGTTTGTGTACACATTAAACAGTGTTGGCGATAGGGGACGCTCCTGTCTCAGTCCAATACTTATTGGTGCTGGTTTTGATTTGTAGTTTTCTAATGTGTACCAGGCCTCGCAACCCCTGTACAAGCTCTTCAGGTGTTCGACACTTTCCTTTTCGAGTCCGCTTTTCTACATCTTATCCCATAATCTTCGGTGTGGTACTGCATCATATGCTTTCTCTAGGTCTAGGAATCCCAGGAACAACTGGGAGTTTTGGATGTTTTTCATTTCTATGGCTTGGGATTAACGTAAATAGGTTATCGCTTGTTCTTCTGTTTTGCCGAAAGCCATTTTGAGCTTCTACGAAAAAGTTGTTTTTATCATACAAGATCTGTAGCCTGTGGTTTATTATGCTTGCAAATAATTTGCAGACTGCTGATTATTGCGATTGGTCAATAGGCATTGAGGTCTTTTGGGTCTGCTTGTTTCCCTTTATATAGGAGCTTTACTCTTGCCTGTTTCCACACTTACGGTATTTCTGTTGACACCAGGCGTTCATTAAAACATGTTCTGAGGTTGTTTGCTGCCTCTTTTTTAATTGCCTTCAGGAACTCGTTCGGAATATCATCCATACCGGTTGCCTTCTTGTTTTTCAGTCGTCTTATTTGCCTCTTCATTTCCCCCGTGGTTATAGGATCTAGTATGGAATGCTTCTGTATTTTGCGTTTTCCCAAAGTTTCTTTTTGACTATGTCTCTTCCGGGGTTTGCTTCAGTTTTTTGTTGTTGCTGTAAGAAGTACTCAGTCATCCATTCTTCTATTTCGCATTTTTCTTTCAGGTCTTTGCCCCCTCTTTGCAGCATACGTGTCTGTTCTTTCTGTTTTTCTGCATGCATTGTAGTAATTTGTCTCCAGAATGTCTCGTTAGATTTTTTCCCCTTTTTCAGTATGTCTTCCTCTGTCTTTCTGCAGAACTGTTGAATTTTTGTGGCCACTATACTTTGTTTCACCTTGTGTTGTACCGCAGGAAAGGCTACAAGCGCGAGCTCCTTGCTCAATGGCACACCTCGGCGGCACAAGCTCTCGTGCACCAAGGGCAGCTGCCAACGCTATGAGCTCACACTTCTAGCCTTCGCTGCGGTACAACATGAGGTGAAACGGGGTATAGTGCCTTCACTCGAACTCTTTGTTCTTCAAAACATTCCCACAGGTAGTCTTGGGTGTAGCCTTTTCGTTGTGCCCACCTGTGCTGCCTGTTGATCTCTTGTCTTCCCAATTGCCTCCTTTACCTCCTGTCGAACCAGGGCCTTCGGTTTTATTGTTTCCCTTTCCTGGTTTTTTCCACTTGTTCTTTGGCTGTTTGGGTAATTAGGCTCATTAGTTCTTCATATGTGTTGTCTTTTGTAATTTTTTTCTCCAATTTTGATGCAAATTTTTCTATTTTATGTTCTGCTTCTAGCTTCCAGTTGTTTTCCTGGATGTTTTTATTTTTTTCTGTCTTTGGTTGTTGGTGTTTAGTTTTAGCAGTATTCTGTTATAATTGCTTGCACAGCTGCTTACCTTGCTCTCCTCTATGTGTATAGCATCTAGATGTTTTCTTTGCCTGCCTCGTCGTTTATGAGTTCAGCGTTCCTTAAACTGCAGTTAACGCGTGAACAACATAGTCTGGGCCCGTTTGCTCAAAGCGCTAACAGCGGCTAAAGTTTGCCGCAGTACCTAGGAGAGGGATTATTATATCACGTGACTGGCTCGGTAAAGATGCGGGGAAACATGGCGGTGCCCCGGTGAGTGAGTGCCGCTCGCTTTGGAACTAATGTGTCGTTGTAGCTTTAATATCGGGCGCGTTAGTCAGCAACAAATGGTGCGGGAGGCTTTCACTTTGCCTTACCTTACTTAAATCGCAAAGCATGAGCAATGACCTCGCCGCATTTTCTTATAGTCTTTTGATTCTGGCCATTACTAAGCCTAAATGAACGCAATAATTGTCGGCATGGCAACGTCTTTGGAGAGCGGATTGCCTTGACTGAATCGGCCGGGTATTGATAGCACACAAAAGCAGACAGCGTCCCATTAGACCTTTTTCTAAACTACCCAAGCATCGAGAACAACGCTGGAAGTGTAATTCTACGGTCCGCGCGCGCTGGCCTTTCTCTTATAAAAGATTCAAAGTAAATAAACATAATAAGGCTTTGACGAACGTGCGTGCAAGGCAAAATTTGTTTTAGACTTTTTGCTTTTGAACAATTACTACTGCAGACGCCAGCACGTGCAATGCCTGTAACTGCACTCGGTGCTTGGGAAATTTAGAAAAAGGTCTATTGGGACGCTGTACAAGCTTGCTCAGCGTCTTTGCGGAGCAGAGCCGCTGAGCTGCTTCGCCTAACTACACTTAGCCGCCTAACTCCACAAACAATTTTGTTCTTAATGTCCCTCAAGTCGGGTAAGCAAATGGCAAAATTAAAAGTGTCCTAATGTCACTCTTATTTATTTTGCTTGGGGTACATGTGAACGAATAAAAAAAAATACACCCGTTATGTGGCACACTTACCTTTGGTAATGGAGCATTTCGCATCATTGGTGATTTCCTTCTCTTGCGATTAGAACGTGCAAACACTGTTGAAATGGCAGTCTTCTGCTTCAGCTTCATCCAGCCATCTGCGCGATTTTGCTCAAACTGGGATTCTTGAAAGTGCCTAGAAAAATATAATTTATTTTACCTTATAATGCCCTATAATTAATGTTTACATGCTTAGTTGCTTTATGTACATTAAATCCAGGACACTTATAACTTTCAATTTACTTAGCAGTCACTAGTTTAAACAGGGCTGTCATAACCAGGGCCCCTTAGATGTTGCAGATAGTGAACATGAGAAATGCACATAATTAAAATTAACTTTGCCGTTTTGTTTCATTTAAATTTCATGTGCTCGTATATCTTTATGCAACAAACAAAGATCCTAGCTTTAGTGATCGCACCATGCTTATCTTGATTGCAACGAACTAATTATGTCTCACTTTTCTTGAGTTGAGCCAAAGTTTGAACTGCATATATGACCAGATCAATGCTATTGACAGTAATTTATAAATTCATACCGTCTGTGATCGTAGCTGTAGATGCGATCACGCAAGGCACAAGTGATCATTTCCATAGTGGAAAGTTTTTGGAATAAATGAAAAGATTCTTACCTCAGAAAGTCGGGAACCAGCTGTTGGCGTCCACGTGTCGCGCTTTATTTTTATTAGCCAGAGTTTCCCTCATTTTTTTCTTTCGGAATAATAAACAACTGAAAGCCGTCATGGCTGCTGTTAGAGCACCCGATGGCGCAGCAACAAATCATTTTTGTCTTTGAAAATAAAAGCTCAGAAAATCAAGGAGCTGGTAAACCTCCAGAGTAGCCTATGCACGCGTACGGGGAATAAGAACAAAAATGGTGGTCAGGAGCGTGTCATGTGCAGCGGGTTCATCGTTGCCACGTGGTTGCTAGGGCCAACGTCAATGCCGTTGGGAGGAGTCAAGGGTCCGCATGGGTTCACCGAGGACAATGGATGGCCAAACTCTCCCCTATCTATGGCTCTGACCCTTGGCAGGTGGAGGCACCATCTGTGAGATGCTGTCACAAACAGCGGCATTCTGTCTGCTGCTTCTCAGGGACGGCGTCTTATAGTCAAAAACAGTTTTCCACCTCTAACTTTTTATTCTGGTAATGATATGCGTTAAAACTTGAGCATCTCGCTTGAATGGCTGCGGCTATGTTCTAACGGAGTTTGAGCTTTCTCCAAAGTCTAGTTTATTTTTGCGGTACAAAAACCAGGGTTCGATTTTTTTCATAGACGTTCTGTACAATAAGCTATTGCACCCTCCTCCTTGCTAAAAGTTCTAGTTAAGGTTGTTTTACTTATTATATGGTGTGTCTCTCTTCATGACATAAACTAAAGTGAAGTCTGAATTTTGTAATAGGTGCCACCCTGACCAGGCTGAAGCTGACATGATTAGCAAGCATCGTAGCGTGAGTTGAGTGAAATGACAGCATATATTGACTACTGTGTGGATGTCCGTGCTTCGTGGCAGTCATACGATAACAGTTGTCTTGACGTCACTTGTGTTGATGGAAGGTTGCCCTATTATGTCATTACGAACTATTATTTATTTTTATTCATTTGGGGAGCTCGTGGGCCATTACAGGGAGTAACTTTGTACAGCATCCTTGTCTAAGGGCTATACCATATTAATTTGCTGTTGTGTTTCCTGTTGGAGGATAATGACTTATTTGCATTGCATTCCAAATCTCACTTTTTAATTACTTCAATATTACTTAGTAGCTGGCATTTGATGTCAGCTTCTGCCACATCAACCCATGACCTTTGATTGTGTGCCAAACACACCACTAAATAAAAATGGCTTCATTATTACGTTTCGTTCCTCCATTGCATAGGATATGGGAATCCCAGCAATTACATTTTCCAACTGTATTTTGTAATACTCACAATTTCAAATTATGTTAACAATTTTATAAACCTCCGAGTCACTCGTTAACTGATCAATTATTTAAATAAATGTCAACTGTTAACCGGTTGCAAGTTTGTAATTAATGCACAGCCCCACACTGCATTACTGTTTGTGTATAATATAAGGAAATGTTGAGTAAACATACAGGTTATTTAAATAACTTTTATGTCTGACCCATTATATTCAGTGTTTTCTAGATAAGTTTGAAGTTATATAAGAGAGTGCTCATCTTAAAATTAGGCCATACCACTGGATGTACACTAGTGTGTGACCTATACATATGTTCCCAGCGAAATGAAAGAAGTCATTTAAGAAGGACTAACCACTTGCTTTGCTGTTTGTCTTGTCTTCTTTTAGGTTTAGTTTTAGGACTGGTTTTCCTGACTCAGCTGGCTTGTCTGGCAGCTTGCAACCTATGGGAACCTGAGGAACTGCATCACAAGAGTGAAAGGGACGCCCACCTAGCACTTCTTCGAGGATGGTGCCTTGAAGAAGGGAGGACTGCGCCTAAAGTGAATGCCATGGCAGGTGGGTCATTACAGTGAACCCCTAGCACAAATAATCCCAAACAAAAAATTATTAACAAATGGGTTAGAAGCAAAGAATGGAAATATGTAAAAAGAGGTGGAGGTGAACACACCATAGCACTGTGCTTTATGTGTCTGTTCTCTTGTGACATTTGCACCGTTTTTTGTTTTGGTCTTAAATGATGGTTTATCATTTAGTCAGTATCAACACTAGTGAACAAAAGTATGCTCTCATCATTCCTATGAATTAACTGTGTGCTTGCAACTTAATCACAAAAATTGTTTATGCTTGTGTCTAGAAATGTAACTCGTAATCTATTAAAGGGACATTGATATGGTGTTTATGCTTGTTGAGGTTTTTGTTTAAACATGACCTACGATATTCCAACTACCCAGAACATTACTTGCGGATCCAAATTTGTTTGTTTCTGCTCAAAAACAGCCATTCTTGAATTGGTTGCTTGCTATCACATTCACTCTCTTTTTCATGGTTATCTGGGGTTTAAACTGTATGTACCAAATATATTCAAAGTTTTGCATCATCTAAGGCACACACGCAACATTAAAAAAAAAAAGAATATGGACCCCATTTTTGTGGTCTCCAAAAGCCAGCAAAACTGCTGATTGAAAAAAAAAATCTTACACAGATCACAGGAAGTACGTATGCATATCATATTCAATACAGTGACGTACTGCGGGCGATGGTGACGCATGATGCACCAACGTTGCGACGGATGAGGGGGTCTTTACTTCGGAACGGTCATTTGTGATACCAGCCAATTGATCTTCAAGCGCAGACATTGAGCGTTTGTCGTGCGAAATAATCGCACGACAAACGGTGCACGCAAATTCGTCGTCATCGTCTTTTCGGTTTCGAACTGCAGAGTTTTTTGGCTTTATTAAATATATACGTGGCTGTGTAGTAAAATATTTCCTGGCTAGTCTCTTGACACAAATTAAATCGCTTGGGCGTGTTAGTGTCTCTTTTAGGGCGTGTTAGTGTCTCTTTAAAGAACAAAACCGAGGTGCAAGCTGGCACAGGTTAAACAAGGTGAATCACCCAATACAGTAGTAGGGATTCATGAAGGATGATGCAAACACTGAAGTCTAAAATAATGGGCTAAAAATAAATAGGCAACCCTGAAGAGGGAGACACAAAGGCACTCTTTACAAATATTATTTTCCTGCTTACAACCACCCTACAAAGGGAATTCGTTCCCGGATATTGCAGCCTTCTACTGTACGCAACCCCGAAGGTCCCCAAGACAACAAATGAAACGAAGCAACCTACGAACCTCTGAATAAATGTGGTTGAAAGAAGAATAGCTTGAGTTTTTAACCTAGGAAGTACAAAAACATCATACACAAGGTCAAGTTTCCAAAAACGGGTGGACATCGAACTTGTTTCTAACGAAAAAATACAGGCAAAAAGCAGTAGCATAGCCAAGAATTTTTTTTTTTTTCTTTTTAGGGGGGTGGCTGGGATGTCCTTTACTTCGGGTTCGGAGAGGGGTAAGGGGTCAAAATGTTTGTGTATAATATTATAGGGTCGGCTGGATTTCGGGGTGGGGCTGAAGCCCCATAAGCACCCCTCCCCCTCCCTGGCTACGTCCCTGTACGCCTGTTCCACTCAGAGTCGAAACACAGAAAGGGCTTAGTCAACGCATTTCTATGCTTTATCAATATTATTATTATTGATTCTTGCAGTATATGCTTGTAGTCATTCCCTTCGGTCAAAACTATTTCAGCAGGATCCCATAAGGGCGCACAAATATTACATTTATTCAAGTGGGTTTTTTTTGTTGCTTTTTTTGCAGAATTTGCTGCAAAGATTGCATAAAAACAGGGGTCAGTATTTGGAACTGTGAAAACATTTGAGGGAATAATTGTGACCCTTTATGGATCTGTCCTGAAAACGTTTTGACCCAAGAGAATGTCCACAAATTTATACTGAAAGAATCAGTAACAAAATTGAAGCTTGTAACTGTGGTGAATAAGTCTTTCCTATGCTTTGACTGTGAGTGGAAGAACTTTTTTAGCCTATATCTTTTTCCCTAGAACCAGGCTTGATGTCCCTCTCTTTTAGGAAGTTAATGTTGTGTATGGTGCTTTTCTATTTTCTAGGCTATAAGCTCGAGGGTATTCCCTGTTTCTTTGATCACATTTACACAGAGGTTAGTAGGTTGCTTCTTTGTATCTCTGTCCTTGAGTATGTTGGGGGTCGTGCTGAGTCCTGGACAGTGCAAGCTGAAATGTTAGTGCAATGACCGAAATCCACTGCTTGCTGGGCTTCTACAAGAGATGCTGAAATAGCAATAAGAGGCGGTTTGAGGACAAGAGTGCATGGCCACTGCTATGCCACTCTGCCTGTTTCTCATCGTTTAGGAGCACCTCGATTTGAGTCTTTATGTTTTGCTATCGCCTAGCCGTGCTTGTTGGCGCCTCAATTATCTGGGCCGGTGGCCTTTGTCCCAGCCCAATAACTTTGTCCTATGACTCAGCAGGCAAACATAATGGTGACTATAAACAATGCCAGGAGCAGCACATCTGCAGCAAGGTGTGCTGTTCTCAACCATGATCAAGCCGAGTCAGGCATCATGCCACTGCAATCTCTTCTGAACGTTATCTTTTATCGCTAGTTGAAGTTTTCTTGTTAAGGCAGTGCCACTGTTGTCAGTCGTCGCTTGGTCATTTCAGCTTCTAGCAACAATGACTGGACTGTAGGGCTGAGCATTGATTATAATTTAAGCCTCATTATAATTGCCATCCCTTAACCGATTATTAATAGATTAATCATTCTCATTCCTTTCCATGCATACTCAAAATTATATATATTTTTGTTTGCCTTCGCTGAATGTTTGATAAACAGTATACAAAATTGATTATGAATCAACTTCAATACATAGTTGACAACAGTTTGAGGACACACTCGCAGTTTATTACTTGAGTTGCATGAGGCAAAGAGGTTTGTTGATATTCATCGGCAAGAGCGGCTTCCTTTGATTGTTCTCGCTGTTCTAAACAGACACTCAATATATGTTAAAGTGGCCAGAGCACATGTAACCCTCTGCACCTAGTCTGGAGTTACAAATCTTGCCCTTACAGTTTATTTTAGGTTAAAATTTCACCTAAACTTTGCCCTTCATATGCATGTACTCGGCCATTTCTCTATGGTAAAAGCATTTAATTTTGATTTTCTTTTGGTTCGTCAAAGTTTTACCGGTTGACCGGATAAACAGAATAATCCAGATTAAAGCAATATTTGATTAATTGGTCGGTTATTCTATCCATTGCCCAGCCGTACTCTTCTATAGAAGGCACTAAAGTCCAGCAAAATATTTTTCTTTTGGAGATGGTTGTAAGTGGAAGTGCACCCATGGAAAGGGTTTCTTAAAATCTCCCTTTATATGTTCTGTTGTGTGCCGCTTAATTAAGAACCTTTCTCTCCATTTAAATTTAGCTGAGGCCCAGTCTTCGGTACATTCATCATAAGAAATTTCTTTTAGAGTGAAACTTCAAGGCAATGTCAAAATTATTGCAAGTTGAAGCAAACCAAAATCACAGAATGAAGTGATGGTTTCCTCTTTTGTTTAGAGAGATCTAATGTTTATCAATATTTTGTTGGAAGGTGCTTTTATGACAAAAGGTGTCGCCAACCTCTGCTCAAGACCATGTGGCTTGCGGCTTTAAAACCCATCACATTCAAGTGTTATTTAAATTTTTATCTTCATCATCATCATTTTCTTGAACCACAACATTATTTAGAGCACCAGTTTTACTAAAGAAACTTCCATTGCCAGAGACTCATGCTCTTATTAATTGTGCAATGACAGTGCAGCCACCAACTGCCATTTCTAGTGAAATAGCGGTCTCTGGTGTAACAAATTAACAATGAACAGTGTGGAATAATGAAAAACAGTCCACTGCTGTTTTTCCAAGATCCAGTGACTTGCTTCTGCAGGCATTTATGGTTTTCCAATGCAGTGTAAATGTGATCAAACCAAAACAGAAGATAGAGATGTGCTGCGTTAATGGTCCCTAGACCTTCCGAGTGGTGATGCTCCTCCTCACCTTTTCCTAGGCAACGAGCGAGAGGACTCTTCACTAACGTAATCCATCTTGGGCTTCTGGTATAACGAAGGCCACTGGGAGGGGCTTGAGGGCAGTCTGCCTCGAGGGGAAGTTGACTTCTTGATTGCTGCTACTTGGGGACTCCAAGATAGATGGACGAGGCTTTTCAGCAGACCTAGGCTATCCTGGAGGTTGGGGTGGGACGTTTGCGAGTTGTGTTACTTTCCTACATGGCGACAGCCGCCTCCTGTGCATAAGTTACCTGGTGCTCATCTTTTGTGTAAGGTTGCTATTCATGTCACTGAAGGAAGCTTTACACTTCTGGTGTGGCATGTTACTTATTTGGCAGCTAGAAAAGCTGTTGCTTGAAGTCAATGTTCAGGTTCTTGGTTTTTGGAGGACCGGAAATATTTTCTAATACACTCGACTCTCAGTAACTCAAACTCCTGAAAGCCACAGACTTTAATTTGAAATATGAGAAGTTTGAATTATCGGAAATTTATGGAAAAGTGATATGAGGCAAAGTATGAAATCGCTATAGCAATAACTACATATACCAAGCAGTTTTTTATACTATCCTCTGCACAGGCCTATTTAAAAAAGGGCACACATAAAACAATGGTGAGGCTTAAAGCAAATATTAATATTGGCCGAATATTTTCTAATTGAATATAGAATAGTTTCTCAAAGCCTTTTACTACTGTTGTGCCGTGCTTAAACAAAAATTCAGCTTAACTTGTGAAGGTTGTTCCCAACCTTCCCCTTGTTCACTTCTAAGCTCAGTTAGTTTTAATATAACTACATATATGAACTGTGGCCTCTGTAAGTCCAATGCCTACATTGGGGTGGCATGTAAATGACAGATTTCACATAAAATTAAACCTAAACAAACGGCCAGCTATCCTAATCGAAGGAATTTATAACTCTGCTTGCTATATGCAAATATTCTTTCTTTCATCTGGAATTTAATCCCCCTTAGAAAAATCAAAGCACAAATAATGAAAGCAGATTGTCAGAACAGTGCTCCTTGCATAATCGAGATGGGTTAGTCCCATCGAGCATGCTTCTCACCTAGCACCCGTATACTGCGGCAAAGCAATGACCACGAGCTTCGCGTGTATTGCTTTTCCGGAGTACACAGGTGCTCGATGAGAAGCGCACTCAACGGGGCTAACCCTCCGCAATGAACAAATAGTGTGAATGGAGCGAAAACATTGTTTGAATTAAACAGCTTATAGATGCATTAAAATTTAGGGAAAAAACTAAATTTTTAAATTTGTTTGAATTAATGGCAGTACGAAATATCAGAGTTTGAATTATTGCGAGTCCACTGTACTTTTTTTAGTTCAGACAAAACAGTATTTAGTGGCAGCTCTCAATGCAAATAGTAGTGGTTGTATACTTCATATACTTTTTTTTCAGGTGCCGTAGTTTCACAGTTTTAGAGGATTTTAAACGATCACATGAAATTGGTAATACAGCACATCATTATGCTGTAACTCGCCTCTGGCAAGCACATTCCAGTGTTACAAGCAGATTATACTTTTTCATGCAGCCATATGAGTGGCAACTCTTCGATTTTCTGCTTGTCTAGTTTGGTAGAAACATTGTTCCAAAATGGTGACATGAAAAGAAGCTATTAGTCTAAATTAAATTTTGTTTGTCTTGATCCTATAAGTGAATTGCTCTCATATCATTTTGCAGGCAATGTGCTGAGGCTTGGGCCATGTGGAACTGGAGGCAGCCAAGTCATCAAAGAAGATAGGACTTCGGCTCATTCAGAAACCATGTGAACTACGGCACAAGAGGCCCAGGGCACCGGAACAGCTGGCTGAATAAACAGCTAAGCCTTTCAAACATTGAAGTGTGTGCTATCCCAAGGGGAGTAGTTTGAAGGGGATTAGAGTTTTAGACCTCAAGGCAAATAAATGTATTTTTTCCTTCCAAAGGTTGGATACTTCTTGAACAGCCCTGATTCAAAAATACGAAAGAGTTATACAAAGAAGGCGGACAGGACAAACATATTTCGAATTTCAACACATTGGTGTCTTTTTTTGCTGGTATAAATTGACTAACCTGGGGACATGCACTTTTAATCTGACAGTGAATCGAACTGATGACCCTTTCTTCCAGTGTCCATTGAATTCATGATCAGTTAACCAACAGCCTGGCCACCAACACCTTTGAAATTTTTGGACTAGGCAATATATATATCCTTCGGAGACTATATTCTTGTGAAATCGGTAAACTGTTTCTTTGTTGTTTGTTTGCCTAGTAGATAACATACACTGTAAATGACACCAATTTTTTTTGTACGGGGAGACAAGAAACAATGCACATCATTTGTGCCAGACTTCGGAGGTGGTTCTTGGAAAGCTAGTGCAACTGCAATTTAGCCTAGACTTTGATTATCATGAGCAATTGCAACTAGGTAGGTTTTTGTCAATCTTTTTTTCTTTTTGCACAGCGAAGCAGCAGGTGCTGTAACATGAAGGTTCAATAAGAATGGGTGCGTCATATGATGTTCAGATCACAAAGACCTCTATCTGGATGCCTCCTAGCTGATCCACCCCAGTGCCTTGAGTGCATTACAGTGATGCCTAGAGCTTGAGTATTGTTGCCTGCAACATGATGAACCTACAAACACAAACATCTGTTCTCGCATGTTATTTTGCCTTTAGATTGGGGAGAAAACTGCCGTCTGCTATACCTTTAGTGGCAATGAAAATGCCACAGCTAGCATTATTTGCCCCATGGCCGAGGTGAAAATGACCTTCGGCTATGCCTTTTCTGGCCAGGCAAATGTCACATTGTTTTTTGCTCAATGGCCGAGGTGAAAACAAAGCCAGGCTAATGCCGCGTCGGTAATTTCTCCATGGCCAGGCTGAAAACGACCCTCGGATATACGTTTGTGGCCTAGCAGATGCCGGCCCTCGTTCTTTGCTCAATAGCCGAGAAGAAATCAAGGCCTCGGTGGCCTAGCAAATGCCGGCCCTCGGTCTTTGCTTAATGGCCGAGGTGAAATCAAGGCCTCGGTGGCCTAGCACATGCCGGCCCTTGTTTTTTGCCCAATGGCCGAGGTGAAAACGAGACCTCGGTTATACATCCGTGGCCAGGCTAATGCCGCGTCGGTATTTGCTCCGTGGCCAGGCTGAAAACGACGCTCGGATATACCTTTGTGGCCTAGCAGATGCCGGCCCTCGTTCTTTGCTCAATGGCCGAGGTGAAAACAAGGCCTCGGTGGCCTAGCAAATGCCGGCCCTCGGTCTTTGCTTAATGGCCGAGGTGAAATCAAGGCCTCGGTGGCCTTGCAAATGCCGGTCCTTGTTTTTTGCCCAATGGCCGAGGTGAAAACGAGACCTCGGTGGCCTGGCAAATGCCGGCCCTCGGTCTTTGCTTAATGGCCGAGGTGAAATCAAGGCCTCGGTGGCCTAGCAAATGCCGGTCCTTGTTTTTTGCCCTGTGGCCGAGGTGAAAACAAGGCCTTGGCAACTGGGCAAATGCCGGGCTAGGCCCTTCCTTGGTGGCCAACATGTAAAAAAATACCTTGGATGGCCGGGAGTTTGCCGAGCACTGCCCTTTGCCAATGGCCGAGCTGAATTCGAGGCATCGGTGGCCTGGCTTTTGCCAACCATGGTTTTTGGTTGTCCACCGAGGATTTGCCGGTGGCCGACCAAATTGATTGTTGGCCTAGCAATGGCCGAGGCATGGCCGATGATTTTAGAAAATTCTGTGCTACTTGGGGTCCGTATTTCTTGTTTTTTTCTTTCACTTATGAAATTTGCGTTTTTTGGGCAACAGGGACATTCCTTCACAAACGGGCCCACGTGCACCCAAAGCATGTTTCAGAGAAACGCCCTCGATATCTGAACCTTTCGGGACGACCGTATACTTTAATTCACAAAACGTATGCGACTCAGCTGAAGCTAGAGAGCAAGCATACATGTTACGACAGGCAGCCCTAGCTTCCACGGATGAACACGAGCAGCAAACATATCTGAACTACGCGCGCGGATGCTTTTTGTCTGCGCTCTTCATGAAACAATAATAATGAGCTGCGACATAGCGGTAATGCCAATAGCCCATCTGTAAAAAATTTGCCCTCTTTTACGGAGAAATTCTCTGGCACCTATGCTGCCGGAAAGGTCATCCGTAATTCTAATAACGGAAAAATCCTTTTAAACACATTCACAATCCGTAAATAAAAGGACATTTCGCAAAACATTACGGAAAGTGCTCTACTATCCGTAACGCTATTCAAGAGCTGTCCGTAAAACAACAGACTGGAATATGCATTCTGCAAAACCTATTACGGAAATCGCTCTAGTATCCGTAAAAGTGCATAAAAGTTGTCGGTAAAAGGGCAAACAGAGTAGGCTTTCCGTAACTTATATTACGGAAAGCACTCTTGAGTATCCGTAATCCTATGGGGAGCACAAGTTTGTCTGCTTCTTGCACAGGGGTTGCGGTGATGTCAGAAGGTCGAGCTCTTATTGGCTGATTGAACAAAAATATAGGGGGTAGACCTCATGGTGTCTAGCATTGTGGTCTACCCACTATATCCTTCCAATCAAAGCCAATGAGAGCTCGTCACCTTTCTGACATCACCGTAATGTCTGTGCAAGAAGCAGACGACTTGCTCTCCGCATAGGGCGGTGTCAATAGAAAGGTGGGCTGTAAAATGAGCTCGAATTAATGCCTTCATCTAGCAAGCTGAACTTATCAAAGGTTTTCTTTTTGTGACACAGATTCCCATGAAAACTTTTAAGGTGCAACTCCAGTCTGAGAAAAATAGAACTACATTATTTAAATTTGACAATGGGCACCAATGTATACAATCGAGAGCTGCCACAACCTGTTGTGGAAAGCAGGCAACACAGCTGAGCAATGCATCTGCAGCAAGTTTCCTTGATGTCAGTTGTTTTTTCTTCTGTCAGTTCTGGCATTCAGACCAATGTGCAGATTTATAGAAGGTAGTGGGATTACAAAACATTATCTGCAGTCTGACTGACCACCGCAGTCATTGCATTTTTAAACAGCGATATAAAGCACCTTATAAAGCAAAGAGAATGCTGTTTTCACATTCCACAGAGACGGAGCTGTGCCTTTACATGTCACAATGGTGTTCACTGCTAAAATAGACCTTTGGTAAGAATATGAGCTCAATGCTTGTAGGTGCAGATTTCTCCAGTTCATATAACAGCCAGTCCCTTAGTGATGCTGCCCTATACATAATGTAATGTTAATTATGACGCTGATACAACCAGGTTTTCCATAAAAAAAAAGTTACAGAATTTTGAATTGAAAAAGGATCTCTTTAAACGAATATTGAGTACTCTTGCCTATGCTGCTTGCAGCAATCATGCAATGTCACCTGAATAATTGATGAGAAAATAAGAAAAGTACCTTCGAACACTTTGTTTGGGTCCTTGAAGAGCCAAAGTAGAGCCCCCCGTGGTGTTTAACATTTGTTTTTAGATACTGCATGTAACATGATGTGCTAAAGAGAAAACAGAGAAAAAATAATTATCTATATCAGATCAACAAGATGTGCAAATTGAGCTTGTGCATGAAACACAGCCCACCTCAGCCCATTTAATTATTACCCATGAATCTTATACAAAAGTCAAACGTACATTGCCTCTAATTGTTCATCCTGTGACCCGATATCTAAAACCAATGTTTGACTTGAGGGTCTTGTTCTTCTGTTCCTTAGTCAAAACCGATACACTTCAAGCCTCAATTCGTTCGAAACTTAGAAAAAAAAATGCAAGGCCGGAATCGCATAAGTGATTTGGTTCATAATGTGAAGCATTTCTTGAGAACTGATGAACCAACCGGAAAACTCGATCCAGTTTGAGTAATGCTTTATTTCTAAGGTTCATGAGATGTTGCAGAAGAGTCTATGTAAAACTGGCTAAGCTCATATCCCAGACTTTCATAAATTTGGGCAGCCACTTCAAAATCTCCCATTAGAACGAAGGGCTAGTTGCACTCTTTCTCGTTGTCGAATCAGGTGGTCAGCCTCGACTGCTTAGAGTGTGTGAACATAGAAACTTGATTTTCTCTTTAGATATCCATAAAGGTTTTCACAGAACTGAGCGGGTGAAAGATTGCATGTGTACTAAAACTGCTATCAAAAACTGGGGACTAAGCAGTAGCTTAGTCCCCAGTCCCCAATCTTACAATTTGGGACCTTCATCCTACCCACGTTTGAGCACACCTGTGCACACGCTTTTGAGTTGGGCGAGTGGTAAAAATTTACAGAGTATCTATATATGGCATGCCAGTCTGTTTGCAAGCTCCACAGTTTGTGCACCTGATTACCCCGAAAATGTGATCTAGCCATTCCCTTTACCCCAAGTGCCTACCACTCAAGGAGCTTGCTTGGCCACCTCGTCAGCGCATTCTGACTGCGCATTTCTTTTGTTGCCCGTTGAAAGGCGGACCCTTCTTCATATTTTTCGCTAAGAGACTATTCCGATGTGTGCGAACGATGCATTTTGGTGTACCTGCATGCCATATACTCCAATTTACAAGTTGGATTTGGAGCTGACAAAAGCATAAGGTCAGATGCACGATTTTAAAAAGCTTTCTCTCTGCGTGAGCGCTCGTACAAACCAAGCTGTCATCACGTGCCTCTGCCGTTGCCTGTGCTAGAGTGAAATCGGTCACACAAACCATAAATCAGACCAACCGACTGGTGAAAAGTGACAAAAAGGTTCGCCCACAAATGCTGTCGAATTTAAAGTGAAAATACGTCAAGCCGAGACAAGCAACCCATTAAAAAAAAAGTGAAAGCCGTTTACAAATGTCTGTAACGCCGAATTGGAGCGCAGCTCTTGAGGAGGAGGAGTGAAGGGTACTGAGGGGAGGGTAGACCCCTCCCCCTTCTCCTCCTCCTCCCCTCATTCTTTAATATGCTCCGGGGGGGGGTGTCACGTGACT